ATTGGAAGATATAAGATTTTCAAACTTATATTATTTTAGAATAGAAATATTTTGCATTGAACTTCATAATAAATAGGACAATATGTTATTGTAATTTTCTTCAAGAAAGTGAAAAATTTGCTTCATCAAATGTAGGTAAAACAAGTTTCAAACAGACCAATTCTTCCTCCGAGAGATGATATCTCTCCACCGCCGTTACCGCCACGACTTCCAGCAACTCTAAATTCAAGTAGTTCGGCATTACTGACGCGCCGTAATTCTACGTTAGAAAATACAGGCTGTACAGGCTGTGTTGTTCATCCACGGAGACATATGTCTTTCAATAGTCCTAGCCCTACAAAACTTCCACCAACGCAGCCTAACGGTGAGATTTTATATCTGTTTGCACATTCATATATATTTATATAGGATGGATATTTATTTTCATATTATTATGTTTTAGGATCAGTGACACCGAAGTTACCACCAAAACCTTTACCTGGACGTCCACCTACTACCATGTTTAATTTCAGTGCTCCTCCTGGACCTAGCTAAGTGTTGTCTTTCCTAGTTTTATTTTTTTACCTTGTTGGAACAAACATTTACAGTTACAGCTTAGTCAATTCGGTGAGTAAAGCTAAAATTTTTCTTGTTGCACAAATTAAAAAAACAATGCCTATAATAAATTAATGAATTTCAAATAAAAAAATCATTAAGAGGATGCTGGAATGACTAAATCGTGAGGACATTGCAGATCAATATAAATCTTCCAATTTATCGAACAGAATAAAAAATCCTTTCACAGGATTGAAGTAGACGCAAAATAGGGTATTGGTGCAATGAATTTTGTACTAAAATCGGAAAAAAGTTAAAAGCTTAAATTTTTTCTACTCGAAGAACTATCATCTGACGAATATATTTCCTTAAGGGGAGGCACCAGCTTTATTTTGACCCCCTTAAATTTAAATTATCAAAAAAGGTTATATTATTTTTTTGCATCATTTTTCACCTAAAAACATATAGGTTGGTAAAAAAAAAAATTTTTTATGTTTGAGCAGTTTAGAATTTTTATTTTTTCGAAATTTCAATATTTTTTCAAATCCATACGAGAAGTTGTGTGAAATTGGAAAATAAACATAGAAAAAAATTGGCGTTAAAAAAAATTGAAATTTGTAAAACTAGATACATTTTTTCCACTAAAATTTTTGAATTTTAACACTATTTTCACCTGCTCTCAGCTCTCAGAAATGAAATTTTTTTCATTCATTATACTATAAAAGCAAATATCAGTTATAGACTTGTTTTTTTTTTGTTATAGACTTGTTTTTTTAGCGCTTTTTAAGCGCTAGTGTGCTACGTGGGATATAAGGTTCGACAAAGGACACGGCAAAATTTCATTTCTCAATAACACTGCCGTGCAAAATAAATGGATTTGAAAAAATATTGAAATTTCGAAAAAATAAAAATTCTAAACTGCTCAAACATAAAAAAACTTTTTTTTTTAACCAACCTATATGTTTTTAGGTGAAAAATGATGCAAAAAAATAATATAATCTTTTTTGATAATTTAAATTTAAGGGGGTCAAAATAAAGCTGGTGCCTCCCCTTAATACAAACGTTCTATAGCTCGAATAGACAAAATAACAGTGAACTACTAAGCGAATTACGTGACAATAGCAGTGAGCGTTCACGGATCTACTCTGCAACAGTTGAGTCTGCTGCATATATGTAATACTACTATATGGCTGAATGTGACCAATGATACGTATATGAATGCTGAGCGATGACTCGAAATGGTAAATAAAGAACCCAGAGAACATGTATGTCTGAAAGACATTCAAAAGACGTCTTGAAGACTTTTCCAAAATGAAATCTTTTGCAGATAGAAAGACGTCCTTAAGACGTTTTAAGGATAATGTCTTTAAGACATCATAAACCGACGCACAATAAATCTTTAAGACGTCATACTGATATTCTAAAAAAAATGTTCATGAGTTTTAGGATGTCTTTATGTTTTGTAAGACGTCTTATAATACGTTTCAATGTTCTCTGGGAAGTAACTGTGGATGCTTTCCAGCTAGAGACACAGGCGATACAATGTAACACAGTGTCCACCTGGTGCTTTCCATGACATAGAGAGACACAGAGTAACTCTACGAAAACACTGCTCGATCTTATAGCGTTTCGAACGGAGTGGGTTTGAACCCGACCTGGGTCGGTATTCGTATTCGTATTCGATTAATGGCACTAAATCCCAAGAACTGGGAAATTATACGGCCAGAACGAAAATTCAAACGAGTAGATTCTATGTTCAAACGAGTAATCTTACGTGCTCTTAATCAAGCAAACGAAGTCACTCTACCAAGTAATCTCAAGCGGACGAGTTCATTTTACCAAATTGAATTGAAAATATATGAGGAGCAGGCGGATTCGAACCCGGATCCGCAGATCACGAGTCCGTCGCCTAACGTGCGGAGCCACACGACTCCCCGACCTGGGTCGGTTAACCCATGTTTGACCTAAAAATATCATGACCTCGTCCAATCAGAAATCGAAATAGAGCATGTGACTTCAAAGATCCGACCCGGATCGAGTTCAAACTCGCTCCATTCGAAAACGCTATTAAATTTGACCGTGTTGGACAATAGTGCCAATACAAAGCAAAAAAATTATTTTTGGAAGTGTGGTACTGATATACTTACAGTGATTAGCTGACTTGTATATGGCACGCTGCGCGGCAGCAAGTTGATCTCGCTTGACTTAAACAGGGAATGGAAGTAACTCGTTACTTGTAACGAAGTTACAGTTACAAGTTACTTTTTTGGTAACTTTGCTGGTAACTGTGTTACTTTCTTTTTTCGGTAACTGTAACGGTAACGTAGTTACATTTTTTTGATAACGGTAACGAAATTTACAGTTACTTTTATCGTTACTTTGCATACGATTGGATACGTTATAGCACGGCATAGATACGACAGCTATAAATGTGGTTGTAGAACATTGAGGCCGGTATTCATAGTCGGTTCTTATTTCAAGAATGTCTTAAGTAATGTCTTAAGATGCTAAAGCGGCCCTCTGATTGGTTCGTAACTTCTCAAGACTGAACTTAAGACGGTTTTGAATATAAGAACTGACTATGAATATCGGCCTGAGTGTTTTTTTTTATACAGGCATACACACAAGCTATATTTAGTTTAATTTAATCTAAACATAGTACACACTTTGTTCTAATTGAGCTGTGTAAAAAGCTTTACATTTCTGTGTACATTTATGTTGAGCAATTGGAAAACACCTCTTTTTGCAAAACTTCTGTTATATATTTTAATTATAACATTATAATTTTCTTTCTATCAAAATATTTGATTTACAGCTAAAAGTATAGTTTAAGTAAAAATATAGCTGTATTATAGTAAATATGTGTATCTCTTAATTTTCTTTTTATTTTCTAACATATATTGTGATTCAGATAGTCCTATACAATCCTATATAATCTTCAAGTTTTCTGCAAAGTATAAAAAAATTCCTATACATAGTGTCAGCTATATACATATATATATTGTTTTTATTAACATTTAAACAAAAAACATTGCAAAAGTACATTTTAAGACTGATTTTTAAAAAGTAACGAAAAGTTACCTTTCAAGTAACGGTAACTATAACGAGTTTTTTAAAAAGCGATAACTAGTAACGGTAACTCATTACTTTTTTACTCGGTAACGAGTAAATGTAACTTGTTACTTTTAAAAAGTAACTTTCCATTCCCTCTGGACTTAACTTACAAAAAAGGTCTTGGTTGTGAGAAGTTTTCCATTTCATGACATCAATCAAGATCCCCATGAAACGTTGAGTACATTGAAAATGTAAAAAAATATCGAACGCACCAGACCCGTAATTCTTAGACGATAATCAATTTATTTTTATTTAAGGAACTGTACAAATCTAATAACATTGCATTTGTTGATGAATTTTTATTGGCCTCCTCTCTCTTCTTTCTTTCTTTCTTCCAACTACGTCATAGTTTTTACGCTCTCTAGTGACCGTGCCTGGTAACTTGTGTTCCAATTAGACTACGTAACTGTGCTTCACAGTGTCTTTCTGTGTTACACTGTGTAACATCAGATCTCTCTTGCTGGAAAGCACCCTATGTCTAGCAGTAGGTGCTCGATCTTGCAACAGATGGCATTGCAATATGTTAGATAAAGACAGATAAATGAAAGATTATCGAATTTGATATTTAAAAAAGTCTGTCAATCGACCTCGATCATGTTCAACCGTCGTTTCAGTATCCCTTAAATGAAAAAAATGTCAAAAATAATATATGTTATGATTTGACAATTTTGACAATTCTCTGGATAAATTTTTAAGTGTATTGAAACAGTTAATGCTTTGTGTTCATCATATTTCATGATCTTACTGAATAGACTATGCTCAGTATCAGTTACCTGTGCCGCTTCCTTCCTTTAAATCCCTATCTCTCCTTTAAATACAACTGTGATATAGTTTCCTTAAAAAAAATGTTAATGTAATTATATATAAATATAGATTTTAAAATAATAGACGTAAGAGAGAAAATAATGTGTATTGAAATGAATATATATACAAAACATGTATACATATAAATATATATATATGTGTGTATATATACTATTATTGAACCAATATCAAGAACGCATATAAAATATATATAGGGAAAGAAATAGAGAGGGGAGAAGGAGGAGTAAGAGAGACGGTACATGTATATTATTATAAATATATTATTATATATATATATATACATAATATAGATTGTAATAATTTCTAGGAAAAACAATATGGCATTATGTAAAATAAAAAAGTATATTGTGTAACAGTATTTGCAACTCTTACCTTATATCTGCGGTTTTTTTTACAGTGCATTTGGTAATAATTAGAAACAAGATGTTAAAAAACATAAGTGTAAGTTTATGGAACTTAGACTTAAATTATTTTTGGAAATGATATTGAGAATAAGGAGAAAAATGTTTAAATAGAGACAATTTGGCTTTATTTTTTTCTTATTCTCACGCAATCCCGAGTTTTATGACTGGAATGTATATGTATATAAGATAACGCGTTCGATTTTATGGGACTTCCCATACTGTAGAGCTATCGCTGCGTTTGCTATGCCTGACGTCGGCGTTAGTATCTAGAACGTCACTCAATTTACTGAATCGTCTGGCCCAGTTTCCTCTTCCAATGCTTCCGGCGTCTCTCAAAACCGAAAGTAAATCATCTTCGTCTTCTTTTCCCCTTATTTCCTTTTCATACTTTTCTTCCTGAGCGATCAATCGTTCGCGATGCAGCTGAGTTGTCAGAGAATGCGGTACAGCCGGTATTATGTAGCTCATAATGCCGGTAAGTGCGAAAACCTATAAAAAAAATTTGCTTTCCATCGAAACAGCTAATTTATTGCTTCATTAGTAAAAACAAGCGAGTGTGCCAACTTACAACGTGCTCGAAGACAACGACGAAAGCTAAACGCGCGGCGAAAACGTGCCAATACTGCGGACTGAGCCCGTAAGGGTCAGCAGGGTCATCTGGACCATTTCTGTAGCCTCTGTACTGACAAGTCTCAGGATGCTCATCTTCCACATCGCTCTTCATATCATCGCGATAATCGGAAGTATTGAATTCTGACAGCGAGCTATCAATGTATCCTATCAAATTTTCAGTTGGCGAATAAACGAATGTATACACGCTTCGTGGAATAAAATCGGATGTGTACGCGATGACAAAGGCCTGAAACATGTATATTTTATAATTAAAGTCTAGAACAATTTGTGCAATTCGAATTTGCATATGCGTGCGTACATTTGATACCACTGCCACGTAAGTGACACCTCTAAGAATACCAAACCAAGCGCCAATATCTTCTACTCGCTCGGCCAATGGTCTTCGAGCCTCCTTGATCATTTTATATGCGTCCAATCTTATCTCAGCGATATTATTCAATAAAGCGAATAAAGGTGCTAACGGAAACGCTGCCACGAATAATGTTACAAATCCATACTGCAGAACTGTATAAACATCGTAAAAAGAAAGAATATAATATCCGCAAAAAAATATCCTCCTAAAATTAGTAGTGTGAGACTCACTCATTTCTAGATATTCCTCGAATAAAGCTAATCTCCCTGGGTCTTGAAGTTGATAATCTTTCTCCCAACAAGTGTATCTTCTATCGTGATTTTTTGTCGCCGCGACTTGCGTTCTCTTACGCCACCAATTCCATAACTTTGGTGACAATATTTCGACAAAGTTATTAAAGCATTGCTTACCGACCATTATAATCGCAAGTTGAATACAGACTTCCGAAAGGCAGCCAGCGGGATCGCACACGTCTGTTTTAATGCGATAAAATTCCGAGGCTCTCGCATCCGCATCGCCAGGATGAACGAAAAATCTCCCCTAAAATAAATAAATATGAGACTCGAACGAATTCGATATGTCGTTTAATGTTGTACGCTAATATACCTTAAAAAAAGCGATATAAATCAAGGAAGAGTAAAAGTTGACAAATTCAAATAAAAATATTTTAAATGTATAACTGGCTTCGTATTCCGTCTGCGTTCTCGGATTTTCCAAATTAACCATCCAACGAGCTAATCGATGATATATTCGTGTAAGTATCATTATTATCACCAAGTTAATGAGAGCGGCGGTCATGGAAGTGAATATCTTTGCGTGTCTTTGTAGAAAACTACCACCTCCACCGTAAAAGACGGCAACTAACGAAATGCGGTACACGATCGTTCCTAAAACCGCACCGAGGACTACGCATATCTGCGCAAAAGTAAAAATGATAATAATCTGTGATGAGATATTTTGTGTATCAAAGAAAGGTGAAGAAATGCATGAAATAATTACCATAAAAAATACCATCGAGCCAGTAGCCAAACATCGAATGGCTTTAGACCATACGGGCAAATACGGTTCTTTTTCCTTCGTCACAGGGTTTATTCGGAATGTTTTAACAGACGTCTCGAATTCAGGTCTGGGCTCTTCATCATATTCCGCATTTTGGAGATCCCATTCCCAAACAAGCACAGCTTGTCGTCGTTTCCATAGTTCAAGAAACGTGGTAGCTGTTATATCACATCGAAAAAATTAAATTGTATATAATAATATATAAGAAAAAATACGATCGCGTGGAAGAAAATCTTTTTCAAATCTTACCCCAGAAAGACATAAAACAGGCGAAGAAGACAGTCGCTGGATTATCAAATAAGTAAGTTAATTTCGAGAATATACAAGAATCGCCGAGTCTTTGATAGGTACACGCTTTATCACAAAGAGGGCACAGAGTGATATTTCCTGAAATATTGTGTTACATATAGAATTAGAAACATTATAAACATTACAGAATAATTTGTTAACAAAGACTTTTATAAAAGTATGTTCTATATAAAGAGGACATTTACCAGCTATGTTAGGATCGCATATTTCCTTGCTAGGAATGTTGTCTTCACCATCCATGCTTCCAAGACCGTAAATAAAGCACAAAAATCCCACCACTGCTGGTGGATACAAACATTTTGTATAAAATCCTAACCATGCGAAGTAAAGAGCGACTTTTTCGCCAAAATATCGTCTTATTAACCATAACGGCTGTTTTTTAAACCTAAAAATGTATACAAAAAATTTCATTCAAATAGCATGCAATATGACGAAATAGCTGAAATTGTTTTCTATTACCATTGCGCAGGTCTCGCCCATATTAAGTACAACAAGTATCTATCGAGAATCTCTCCGTTGCGCATGGGTTTGTTATAAGGACCCTCGTGCAAAGGAAAACAATCAAGATACGTTCCGTCCGCTAAAAGCCTGCGGATACCAGATTTCTCATGATTCTCATCATATCTCGCTCGTAATAATATTTGCATTACTATTAACGATCTCTGGGCGGGCGTATAAGCATTATCTCTCTCCTTTACAATAAACCTGCCAAACAATTCGATTAAATTCAATAATGAAGTTCCATGATAACTCTCTAATTTCGCTTTACTTAAATACCTTTCTTCGCGATCGCTAGAATCTATGTAGTCATAAAAATGTGGTTCCTCGGGATATTTTGATGTATCCCAAGTATGTATCTTATGTGTCCATTCGGCCCAACGAGCCCATCGTGCCCAGAATTTCGATATTTCCTTGGTATCGTCTGTATCCTATTTCAAAAATTCAGATATCATTTATGTGATACAGAATGCGACGTTTAGAACCTAACATCTTTCAACGTCTCTATGCATGCCTAGTTAAAAAAGAACATACCCAAGTTTTCATAGGGATCGTTTTGAACCTCTTTGTAGGTAATTTTAGACCTATTACTTCGGCATATTGCACCTTGATTTTCCAAGGTATATGTAATTTTAAGAAGTACGTTTTCCCATCAAATGAACTCTCCTTTGGCTCGAGTTCTAATTGTAGGCCTTCTTTCAAAAGATTTTGTTGAAAAACTCGTCTTTGTTCTCGTCGACGAGCTTCTAATTCAGTCATGACTCCTTCATTCTCTTCCTGATAGACTAATACCATATCGATTCTTCGATGGCCATCGCTAAAATTAAATCGAATCGGTTAATATTAGTTGCGGAATGTTAAGACATTCTTTCAAAAGATGACCTGAATTGCAGATAATAATGTTTTTCTCATATATACATATTTTATACAAACATGCTTTAGTTTCTAAAAATAAAGCACCTCCGAACTAAACGACCCTTCGCATTTTCTTTTCCTGAGTTCTTTGCTTGCGCATGTGATAATAAAAAAATAATAAGAATCGCTAACGTTCTAGGTAATTGTATTAAGCTTGTAATAATAGAAACGGGTGCTATATCCATCTATATATATGTATATTCACCTCGGCACTTGATTATCTAAGCCTAAACGAGGGGAAACTAAAATAACCTTGTGACATATTACCGTGATAGACAACTACTCACCGAAAATAAAGTACTTCAGGATCGTATCCCGTTTCTTTCGGTGGCAATGAATCCCCAGCGGTTTCAGCATAATCCAGCGAAACTGGCGTATCCGGTAGCGAGGGGTTGATTTCCGGAGTAGCGGGTGCCGTGAGTTTAGGACCTTGGCCAGTTTAAACAAAATTATAAACATTAGAATTAGAATACATTTATTTTATAACTCTTTTCGACTTTTGACTTAATTAACTCTTCATCTTTTTCTAGTTCGAAAAATTAAAAAAAAGATGAAGAGTTATAGTTAAATTGAGATTAATGGTGACCTATATATTGATAGGAACGGACATTATCGATTTAAGCCTGTTTTCACAATACGTGGTTGTAAAGATTATCAATTAAATATAATAAACCAAGAGTGTCATCAATGAAGTTCATTCATGAATTTCTTGGTAATCTTTAGTCTTTTAGGTAATCACATATTGTGAAAACGGGGCTTAAAATTTTCCGGTCATTTCGAAAATATCATACACTTGGTAAATTATAGCGTATTAATAATGTACCAACATACGTTGTACATTTTTTCTTTCAAGTCATCGCTCAGTTGTTCCACCTTGAAAGTATTCTTATAATAATATCTGTAATTTCGCGATATAATTTTGCAAATGTAGGACGCTATTACACGAAAAAGAGTAAAAAGTTAACTGGGGAGTTAGAGCTCACATTTGTAGGATGATAATACTAGAGTCGAGTCAAACGTTGCATTATTAATATCCGATATTCGTGACACGCTGACATTCGTACGCATATTGATCGAGGTTTACTGACATAGCTTTATTACTGTTATGGACAACCGCGTGTTTCTTGCAATTCGTTTTATTCTTTACATACTTCGCATAGATCGCATACCCGACTTATATCTAATTAACAAATTCTATGGATTTAATATGTTAAAGCGTTATGTAAAGCCGTAATCACGTTACAGGTTGCCGGTTGTCGATTTTATTTTAGCCAATCATGATATGTAACGAGTGCGAGTTAGCTGCAATGTGATTGGCGAAAATAGAACTAGCAATCGTAATCGGCAACCTGTAGTGTGATTACGGCTTAAGGGCGATTAAGTTAAAATTAGTTTCCCTATATCGTTAACATATAATAATAGTAAACAGAATCTGCGCGTTTAAAGCTTAGGGTAACTCGAGAACGTTGACAATCGTTCGTTATTGAACGTATCATGTCAGCCTTGCATCAATCTTGAAATAAGATCCCGCTGCTGCTTAGCGCTTCGATTAATACTAAATTAATTTATTCAGACGGAGGGTAAAGAAATTGTGCCAAAAATTTGTGTCCTTACTTAAATTCAAATATAGTTTGATAACATTTTTTCATTATTGTACTGTTTAGTAGTCACTTGATTAAACAACGAAGAGACAATTAGCAATTTCTTGAGAATAATGAATAGTCCTCCTCTGTATACAATAGTGAATTTTCAACAATTGCAGACTATGGATTTCACTTAACAATTAGCGAACCATTGATTTTTATGTATTGACATCGTTTTTTAAAATTATCTACGATATTGCTGAAGAGATGGTTTGAATGAAAGTGAAATGTTTAAATTAGCATATATATAAAACTCATGTAATATTATCCGAAATATATTATTATTGCGCTCTAATTACCGTGCTGTATGTATGCTCTTATTGCCCGGGGATATTAAAATCTATATTTTTAATATTTATTTGACTAAATTAATTCTTACCGAAGGCATCCTGCGCGATTAAATTCGTTCCAGATGGATACACGCTGGCTCTCGACAATTTTCTCTTGATACTCGCCGGCGTTTCATTAGCCAGCGAGCCGTTTTTGTCGGACTCATAAATTATATCCTTATTCGCGTAGACCGAGGAAGTTAATCCCGGAGATCTTGGCGCATTGATCCTTGGCGTCTTGGACGATCTGGCTGAGGACGCGCGAGAGGTGTTTCCGGAACCGCTCGATTTCTCGTCGTTGAATGGATGCTCGACCGGGCTGTTATCGTCTGGATGAAGAAAAGTGCTCCAACTGCTACGCCTTTTAGTGTGGTTTTGCTGAAATTATTCAGACGCTTATAGCGTTTCTAGTGACCCATTACCTCAGTCAGTTCATATATATATGTCCATTTATATCCTCGCTAGTAACGAAAAAAAAAGACGTCATAAAACTTCATTGTCGAAGCTTCAATCTGTGTATCTAATGGAATCAGGGACGATACAAGTGAGAGATAGAAATGAATTAGTGAAGAATAAAATGGTCAAAGGATCGATACCTTAATCGCTTTTAAACATCAAAAATCAATTATAGTTTGCTAGTGTATTACGTAGCAGAAAAGGAATAGATATTACGACAATTATAGTAATTAGACTCGGCGAATGTATACATAGAGACAGAATTGAGAAAGTTACTTTTTTAGGTGCATTCTGATATTCACTATAAATCTATAGTTTATGTTGCATGCACTACAGACTTTTAGTACTGACAGTGAATATCGAAATGCAGCCTTTGTAAAAGTAACTAATTACAGTTACAATTCTTTATTCAAAAAGTTATTAGTTACAGTTACAAATTATTAATTTTAAAAAGTAACACTTGAGACAATTGAAAAGTACAAGCAATAGAGAGAAACAGCGAATAAACATTATAGATTTCTATCTATTAGAAACCGTGCATCTAATATATACAAAATCTCTAATTCCCTATTCCATCTGTTTCTATATTGCCAGTGCTTTCAATTATGACTCAGGCATTTACAATTATAATTATTTAGAAAGTCATGATCATTATTTTTCAGTGACTTTTCAGTTAAGTTTTTGTAATTTTTGTACTATTATTTTAATTACAAAAATCTTACATTTCTAAAATTGTATGATAATTATATCTTCGTTTAAAAAAATTTTTCAAAAAAAAATCATTTTTTTATGCGAAGACTATGATCATTTTTTAAATAGAATTATACGATTTCTTTTACATAACATGATTACTATAATTATTCTGTATATAAGAATATTAAAGTGGAATTATAAAAAATCAATAGTTTACTATATATTTAGTCTATCATATTTTGACATGAAACATAAAATATCTCGTAATGATTATTATTTTTCTTATATCAAACAGTTTTGAAAAAAAGAAACATAGGTAAATATATTTCGCGTGTGTGTATGTAGACATATAAATTATATATATATTTAATGTTTATATTTATTTAAATATAATGATATGTATGTTCTTACAAAAAAATTTTTTACTATCACAAGGATAAAAATATATTCCAAGCATACAAAATAGTTACAGACTGTTCACTGAGCACTTCATTTTGATCAGCCAATGTTGACGAATAAAAGTTTAAAATATGAAATGTAACTCTATGAAAGTAATTAAATTAGTTACCGGAAAATTAATTCTAACTGCAACTTTATTACAAAAGTAACGAGTTACTTTTCTGCATATATGAATTTAAGATAATGAATACTTTTTACTTTACAGTCGTTTCATGAGATGATAGATGTAGAGATATCGAACCACATTTAGACGTGTCATGTTATGAGACACGTGTATTCTCTATTTAGATGGATTACTTAGATATTCACAATGCGAGCTCATAAATATATAAATGGTTCGTGTTATCATTTGTTAAATTTTCTCTATACACATATATGTGCTCGTTCTACTCTCCAGGGACGTAATACTTTACGTATTTATAGTATGTACTATTTATATTACTAAACGATAACTCACTATGAGAAATATTCTCACATGCGCGGGATGCAAAACCGATTTTTGGAACGGTGCTAAGTATACCTGGCTGTCATCGTCTACTTGCAGCTTGTTATCATCCATGTTGATCTCTTGGAATATCTTTTAAGATACGTCCACGAAGACCGAAAGACTTTCGATGGACAATATTCGAAACGTCGATTGATCCGATAACATCTTTTCTCTGGTCGAAAACAACAATTTTTCACGATGATTGTTCGAATAATTATTTATCGATCTGCGCACGATGAGTAGAAAAGAATTCATTTCCCAAAAGAATTATCTCAGGAATACGATATTTCCTTTAATGCTGTTTAGATATCCATCGAAGCGCTATTAAACACTTCCGACGAGCTTTCTTGGTCGCATTTGATAATTAATTGCAAAAAAAAAACGAGCATCGATCAGTGTTGATAGCTTAGGTGGCCTTACATCGAAGAACAATTGTTGAATTATGAATGGAGCACGAATCAACCTCGTTCAAAGAAACGGTGGTGACCAGCGTTTTGTATTCGAAATGCTCTTACGAGAGAAGATACTTCGAAGAAGCCTCGTCCATTTAATCGTCTCGAGAGTGTTTTTATGCAACGGAACATGATGTTGGATTATCGTTAATGCGTTTCAATTCCACGTTGCATCATATTTGTTACTTTTCGATTCGCATTTGCATTAATTGACCATGTATTGTTATCCGCTATTTGCCTTTATTCCTTCATCTTGATCTTTTAATAACTTTGAATTTTAACACTATTTGTCCAAATTAATCTGTTAAAATTTCATTTACGTTTTTTCTTTCAAATCGTTTCTCTGTCTGGTCGTGACGGACAATTAATTGATTTCGGTTAATAAAAACGAAGAGAAGTGGAGCGAGTTTGAACGATGAAAATTAGGCGTGCATTCTTAAATCCTTTTTTTTTCTTCTTAAACTATTGGAGAATAAATTTATACGAGAGCGAATCGTCCTCAATCGAATCGTTCTTTCGCGACGGTAGTATGAGGTATACTGACCACAGAGGACAACAGGAACAATACTTATATATCGCATACGTATCGCCCCGTCCCTTATCTACGTGATCACATATTCTGCGAGGGTGTACGTATGTATTACCTTCGCCTTCAAAGGCGAAGATTTCACCCGTTGCGGGGGTGAAAGCGGTCGAGCGGTGGAATGTCGAGGCTTTTGGAATTGCTATGGTTACCCAATGGACACAACACGTGCATGTGTAACGTATATCGTATTAAACGCATCATCGACTCCTTTTTGAGCTTGAACTTGAATCGTCGTATCGGCTTCGTATATACGGACATCACAGACGGAATAAAAATGCGCATGATCTACATGACACCCCCATTTGCTGTTTTATCACGACAAACATATTAATAACCGAAGGTTACTTCTTCACGTTGGAATATATTCTCTTTACTTGTTAGGAAAGTAATACCTACATCTCAATCGAACGAGTTCAGCATTGAACTAGTTCAATTTCTCGTCGAATTAGCGTTTATTTGAGCAAATATACGTTACTGTCTTGATTATATTAATCTCGTATCGGCGGATTAGATGTATATATCGAGATCGATTTACAAAGATCGCGATTTTATATCAGACTTTTAAAAAACAACCTTGTTTAAGTCTGTGTGAGGAAATAGAATTCGGTATCTCAGATTACTCGTATAGATTAAACTCAAGATTAACAAATTGACATTACATGAAGATTGTGTATATTTATGTAAAAAATTCAGATTATCAATTTATTTGCGTGTATTAACAGATATTTATTCTAATGTAATCAACATTTTTTCGCTCATCATTTTATACACAGCGGATGTTAAACTTGTAATTTTCGTAAATTTTATATTACCTAAACATGTATTTGATATCTTTACTTAAACATTTTCTTTTGTTCTAGTATTTCTTCTTTTTTCATTATTATTGGCTAGTGTATACGTGTATCTAGTTTTTATTTCCGCGTATTTAAATATATGTGTATTCGAAGAATTTTCCTGTCGGTAAGTAAAATGAAACATAGGTTAGGATTGAAAATAATCTATTACACCGAAATTATTGAAACGCAAAAGGTATAAATTCTCTTTTTTACGATTCTTCCTCAAAAACTTTACTCCGCGAGACACACTTTCAAGTGTAAACTTGAACGAAACTATTCAAATGTTTCAAATCAATCGCGAAAATGATCGAGTTGCGTCAATAATTTATGGAGATTATTTGTAAAACGTTACATCGATCAGTTACGATTTCGTAATTATAAATCGCGATTTTTAATTAAATTAGGTGTAGCGACAATTGCATGTAAATCTGAATTAGTGATAAAGTAAAAGATTTCATCTCATACTTGACTAAATACGTAGCATCATTCGCCATGTTTACTACGTGTGTAAGGTAACGCCAACGGTCATCTATACGTCTAGCACTGTGCGTTTGTATACAAAGAAGAAATTTACGTTCTCTCGTGTTGATCGCGATCTCTCGTTCTACAATAGTCAAATGTTTGTTTGAATTGAAATCAGAAAGGAGGCAGAGGATCCCTTGTTCAAGAACGAGAGCGACAAACGCATTGTAGTGGACAGCTGAACGCTCCGGATCGAGATACATAAGTACCGTGGCTGGGTGTGTCATAATGCATAGGCGTGCTATTCTAGTCTTGATATGCGTGTTTTTGCAAACAGGTATGAACATTTGTTGAATCCAATTTTGCAAGCACACCACAGAAACACAATCACTCGTTGATAACGTTATACACGAACTGGATAATTTCCTATTGTCATTTAACAATATACAGCTTGATATTATTTAGTCTGTACATGATAAATCATGATCACATTGTTTCAGTTGCGGCTCAGCGTAGTCCGACAATATCTTACATATCACAAGAACAAATTAAGGATATCGGGGAAACTGTAGAACTGGTGTGCTCTGTTCAATATGCACAGGAATATCCTGTTTTGTGGATAAAGGCTAATAGAGAAAGCTTACACGAGCAAGTCGCACTTTCTACTGGTACTGCATTGATAATCAGAGACAGCAGATTTGCCCTTAAACACGATACAGCATCTACTTCTTATATTTTACAAGTAAGATTTCATTTTAAAATGTTCCTAATTAAGTATTGTTTCAAGCATTAACAATGTATTAACATTTCAGATTAAAGATATACAAGAAACGGATGCTGGATTTTATCAGTGTAGAATACAAATATCTGTAAGTAATCTTATAAGTGCAGAAGTAGAATTATCGGTTCGTAGACAACCGATAATTAGTGACAACTCGACTCAATCTCTGGTGGTGAGTGAAGGACAACCTGTCGTACTGGAATGCTATGCCAATGGCTTTCCATCGCCAAGGATATCGTGGCGTAGAGAAAACAATGCTATCTTACCCACGGGAGGCTCAATCTATCGGTATGATAACTAAATTATTATTATTATTATTACAGTTATTTTAAATATTATTATCATTATTAAATACTTAGCAAACAATATTTTATTGTTATAATTCGAAAACATTGCAGTGGTAACACGTTAAAAATATCTGCCATACGAAAAGAGGATCGCGGAACATATTACTGCATCGCTGAGAATGGCGTTGGACGAGGTGCCAGGCGTAATATTAATGTTGAGGTTGAATTTGCACCAGTAATCACAGCTCCTAGGCCGCGGCTTGGACAAGCTTTGCAATACGATATGGATTTGGAATGTCACGTAGAAGCGTACCCTCCGCCAGCTATCATCTGGCTCAAAGACAACGTACAGTTGTCAAATAATCAACATTACAGTATATCACACTTTGCAACTGCGGATGAATATACTGATACAACGATTCGGGTTATTACTATAGAAAAGCGACAATATGGAGAATACGTATGTCGTGCAGCTAACAAATTGGGTACTGTTGAAACAAAAGTCGAGCTTTTTGGTAAGAAAGTATTAAAAAAAATAGCCTTTATATATTTTTATGTATTATATGTTAGCTGTAGACAACGTTTATAGTTGAACGATTAACTATCTATCTTGGATAAAAATTTTTTATCAATATATTGTGCATGCAAATAGTAAACTTTTAACGTTACTTTAACTAGAATTTTTAATCTTCAATTTGTATCAATGTGTATTTTTTATATTTTTAGTATAAATTTTTTTTCGATTTTTCATCTTTTTCCCTTAGCCAGTCGATTTTTATTTTCATAGCTAGCATGTATACTAGATGTGTTCCCTCTTTTGTTTGAACAGAAAGCATTATCCCTGTTTGCCCGCCAGCTTGTGGTCAAGCTCATCAAGGAACTGGTGTAGTTCCAGTTTCTTCTGGACCTTTGGTATTTTTAGTTTTATTGACTATCATAATAACAAGGTAAGTCATATTTTTATGTACATTTTCTTATAGCGTTATTATCCAGTTGTCGATCTCTCAAAAATAAAATAGTGACTGTTTTTTTTATAGTAAATGCTCGCGCATGATATTTAACTTTAATTTGTTACTTTTCATACTTGTTTAAGTGCCTGACTTATATTATTATAAATGCGTGTAATTAATTATTACTATTATACTTATATAGTTATATATATACATATATATAACTATATAACTCGATAATACAAAATATGCAATGATAGCCGCTTATAAAATAAGCGCAGCGAGAAAATTAATCGCGGAAAAGGATGATAATTAGGGATAGAATACTCAAAACCTTCTGAAAAGTTTTAAGTTTCAAGGACTCGAAACTTCGCTTTATTTTTGTCATCGAAACTTTGGAAATCTAAGATAGAGATACTAGTTTTGGGATACAACAGAATAGCACGTTGAAGGGATACAGCACAAAAGAGATAACGCAGTTAGTATGTATAGAAAGGGTATATCTAGTGATAAAGTTGTAGGTAAATAATTTGTTCTTCAATCAATTCAAAATTTGTTTTGATTTTTTTTTAATTAAAAAATGCAGAACTTTTTTTTTTATATAGAATGTTGAACTATGATATTAATAGAATGTCGTGCTAGCATCACAGATCCAAGTTAATGCACTTTTGATTCCTTGAAATTAATTGTCTTTTAATTAATATAAATTAAATAAATTTTAAACTCAGCCGATTATTAACTTTGACAAATAATTGCTGGATGGACTATGCTGTGTTCGGAAAGCACGCTATTTGTGTTATTATGTCATCGTATCTTTATCGTTCATTAGACATAAAACTAAGATAAAATAGATTGATGCAACAGCGTTGATGGTATACTCCCTGAATGCAGCCTATGTCTTCGAGCCGATTGTAAAAAGTCGAACACAAACATTTTTTTGTATACCATTGTTATTACCTTTTTTCCGACAGTATAAGAGATTATCAACCATATCGGAACGCCAACTCGTGATATTCTTCGCAATCTTATTTTTCACAGATTTAGATTTACTTCAACATTACATCGTTAAAATTTAATATATGTCTTTCAACATATTATTAAGATCCAATAAGATGCTATAAGCATAAAAAATTGGTAGATTGCTTATCAATTTAACTAAGTGATATTACTGCGGTAGTAAGTATGTATGCGTCAATGCTGAAAAACTATCAGCGTCGCGATTTATGCGGGGGGACTACATACGCAGTATATAAAATTCACACAATTATAATAAGCACTGTGATCCAGCTTTGACCATAAATGGCTTTCTTCTTCTAGTTTATTATTGTTTATCAATTATACAGTCCTAAAAAGTTTCTAGTATTTGTCATATCGTTTGTATTTAAGCATTCGGTTCGCGACACAAAGTAATCGGATATTAAAAGATTGGAATTATTCTGTTATTCCCTTCGTTATTCTTAAATAAAACAAAGTAATTAATTGAACAATCGAAATCTATTCCAAATAATTCCATAATATGTATCTAGTACTCAGCAACAGTGAGCGAATAGCAATTGTTATTAAAAGGGACAACAAAAGTATATATAGAATCTTTTACAAATTTCATATAAGGTCAGGAAGAAAAAGTGACCACAGTAATCAATTTTGATGACTTAGCAAAAAGGTGACAAAAAGACTTAAGTGACTGGATGACAGCGCTGGCAATGATAGTTTAGAAATTGTATGATTGTAAATTTTGAATTGATTTTTATATGCATATCTGTACATATACGAACGTGTTTGATATTTACAGAAATTTCTACGCCAAATATTAACTATCCAGGTCTTCAGTGGGCAGGGGCAAATCGATGTGGCTCCTTCAAATGGCTCTATACAACCATCAGTTTTATTGTTGCTGCGATAATGCTGTAAAACCAAAATCTAAACTGTAAGGAGCCTCAATTATGGTTATACTAACTTACTTTCTATATTTTGTATCATGTAATTATTTTTATAGTTATTTACAAGTAGAACAATTTATCATTATATTAATGAAAAACGTGCATATCGTGATACGTCGTTACATCGCAGAGTAATTGTTATAGAATTTATTGATAGAAATTTAATATCATTACTTACGTATTTGATTTTTTACGGTACTTTCATGTTTATAGAATAAATTTTTTATATGTATATGTGATATATAATGTATATATAATATATGTACATAAAATATATACATATATTTTATATATAATTTTTTTATTGAATTTATACATGATTTTTTACATTTTTATAAATGATTCATTTTTATCCTTTTTTGTATATGACATGCGTAATTAATCATATTAAATGTAATTGAGAGTTCAGATAAGACATTCCAAAAAAGGTGCATGACATGATTCTAAATTTGTCACATTGATATAATATTGGAATAATATTTGTTGGCATTTTAATTATTAGAATAAAAATTAGTAATTCTTGTATTCTTATGAATATAGACACCAACGATATACAAATGTTGGAAGCAAACTAACATACCAGTACACATTTATGATAGCATCCAATGTTATGTAACGCGATATAGACAGTATAAGCCATGTTTCGATATACATTGCAAGTGCTAAAAATCTACAGTTTATGTTATATATACATATACTATAGATTTTCAATAGTGGCAAATTGGAACGGACATTTTAGATGCTTGAATTAATTCTTCTCTGTTTTTTGCTAAAAAAAACTCGTGCTTATTTTATCAAAGAGGTACCTGATATTTTATTCATAATATTGTCCCTCGAAAGCTATAACCTTTTCCCACTTTTCGGGTAACAAATGGATTTCGCAGTAGAAAAATTCAGGTTTTTTCGAGGCGATCCAGTCGATCGAGCCATTTTTTGTTATCTTCGAAATAACTGAAGTGCTGCTCAGAAAGACCATACTACATCAACCGAAACTTCTTCTTCCTTGAATAATGGCTCCTGCCTCCAAGCAATAAAATAGGAGGTCGATACGACCAGATCACGTCTTTAAAGTAAACCGTACAAAAATATGAAAACGAATGGGTGATGCAATGCCCGCGGCATCAACCGAAACAAATGGTAATTTAATACATTAGCAGTCACTGTCAGCTATGTTGAACCAACACAAATACTGATCTCTCCCTCAACAGCGAGAATTAATTCAGGCATCTAATAATAATAATAATAAGAACTTGACTGCAACTGATCGACAATGGAGAAGTAATACATGATAATGTTACGAAACCTATCTTATCTTATTTATAGTTATTAGTAGTCGCAGATCGACAATACAGATTTGTAAAATTATCTATCTATCCCGTTATAATAAAGAATTTGGAATGTCATGAACAAAGAAAACAATGTTGATGTTAGTGCCTTGTTCGTGATATAAAAAATGTAATTTATGTTAGAATTCAAATTATATGCATGTGTACAATGCAAAACGCATTACTTATACGCATATTATACTTGTACGTATGTAAAATAACTTTATCAAAATTTATTTCTGCTTATTGCACATTTATAATTATGATTTTTTCTAACGAGACGTATCACATAGATATATACTTGATAAGAGAAAGTAGGGAATAGGAATCTGAATAAAAAGAATCTCAAGTTTTTATACACTTTTTACAAGTTTTATTAAAACTGCATAGCAATGACGATTTAAATAATATTGACAAAGGTTGTGAAGGACGTGACTCTAAGGAACGTTCAAAAAGTTTTAGCTGTTACTTGTTGTCTATTACAAAATTATTAACAATCAAAGTTAATCACTCTCTTATATATGGTGTTTCGTATACATTTTTGCACAGATTTCGATTTCATCTTAGAAAACAAAAGGAATATAAAAATAATGAAAAAAAGGGCTATGAGCCAAAAAATTCGTTAAAATATACAATTTTTAGTAAATAAAAATTGTCATTTGGTTAAAATTACATAGTTTAATTAGAAACAAGACATAGACAACAGACGTTTCGACCTCTATTAGGTCATTATCAATGTTACAGAAAAAATGATCGCAAGTTGTTAAACAAAACAATAATGTACGAAATTGTAAAATTAAAAATATATAAATTATATATAAAATAATAAGTATACAATCTCACTCACATAGTTGACGTTATATTAATTTCGGTGCAATAGTAAGAGTCCATAAATCTTTGTAAATCGTCTAGTTATAGTGTCTAATTATTGTTTCTTATAAAATTGTATCAAAGTACAATTTATAAAAATGTCCGTTGTTAGACAATGCAATGAGAGCCAAATTTTAGTTCTTACTCTTGGAAATTTAAAAAAGTGATATATTTTAAATGGAATTTATTCAAAATGAATATATTCTATTTTTTAATAACTTTAACAAAATAATTTGAACATACATCCATATATATATATTTTTTTTGAAGTTCCATTCCCACTCAATAATTTATTTAAATATATATGTGTAACATATATAACACAGAATTTCTATTCAGTAAATTATGTTATTCAATATATACATTTGTCATATGAGATCGTCACTGTTATACAGTTTTATTCAAATTTTCAATTTTATATTCGCTACTTTAATCGCTGTTGTAATTTGTATTTAAAACTCGACACACCATGATACTCGTAATATTTATAATAAATGTAGTATTTATATATTAGGTGTACAAATTAGTTCGGTGCGTTTTTTGTGTTCAAAAATGCATTTATTTCAAAATAAAATGAATGAACAGATTAATTAAAGTATCGCTGGCAGCTACTTTTTCCCATCTCTCAAGCAATTTTCGAATTCCATCTGGAAAAAATGACTTTGGAGGCGATCATCTTTTGGAAAACGGACCGAACTAATTTGTATTCCCAATACTTATGAACAATTGTATATTATCAGATATTTGGCTATCATAACAGTGGTAAAGTTCATATATATATTACATTCATTTGTACTTATAATTGCAATTTATTACTTTATCCATTTATATATTTGACCAAATTTATGTATAGAGTAAGTAATAAAATTTTATAAAAACAAGATATTCCTCGTCTGTTTTTGTTACATATACAGAAACTCGTTAATACAAACAAAACTGTTTTATAACTTGAAAACGGCTTTGCTTATGTCCCCTTTCTTCAATGCGTCGAGGGCTTCTTTGTATTGAGACAAAGAAAATACTTTGATCCCTAATTTATTGTAGTTAAGATATTTTTCAGACATTGTTTGCACCAAAGCTAATCCTTTAGAAAAACAGAAGGGATTTATAATTACGCCTATGATGCTCAACTCCTTTTTGTAAACCTGTATAATAATTATAAAATTTTTATATATAGTAAGAAAAAGCTTATCAAAGCTTTATAATTCCCAGAAGACTTATGTTTACCTGAAATGGTTCAATTGATACTTTTGCTTTCGGATTAGCGACACCAAATACGCATAAACGACCACCATGACCTAGCAAAGACATGGCCATTTCCATCGCTGGAGCACTGCCACAGCAATCCACAGCTAAATCAAACTCCTCTTTTACTTCCGTCGGACTTTTAACTTTATAATCGAGACCTATATATACAAAAATATATTAGAGAAAGAGAGAGACAGAGGAGGGGAGGAGATCTTCTTCAAATTTTTCAATATTCATTTAAATTTTTCATCATTTATATTACCAAGATTGGAAGCAAGTTCTCTTCGTCTTTGTTGCGGTTCACTGATAGTGACAGTCTTTCTGAGGCCGTGCAAATGAAATAGACTAGCCCATAATAAACCTATAATGCCAGCGCCCATTACCAGAACCTTGTTTCCTATAGTTACAGGATTGATTTTATCCCAGCCGTGAGCCATGCACGACAACGGCTCACTCAACACTGCTTGATGCATTTCAATTTCATCCGGGATTAAGTATACCTATCATAAACACCGGTAACGTCAAGCGAACGATACGAATATCATAATGCAACGATGAAACAGATGATTAAAACAGAATAGAAAACGATAAAAATGAAAGATTACGTGTATAAAATATTTTATTAATAACGAATACAGATATTGCTTTGATCAATTTACATTAAACCAACTTTTTCTCAATAAAAATATCGAGATCATTGTGTCTATATCACGTATTTTCAATTTTTTGCATATATTATATTTTTATAGCTTTAAATTAAAATGCTATTATAATAAAATAAAATATATTTTTACGTAAAAATAATTATTATATCAAACGTATAAGTATATAGAGAACAAAAAAGTTAATATATTGTTTTTAATAAAGAACATTTGAAGAAAGAAAATTTAAGTAAAATTTTTTTTAATTTCCGAAATATGTCATTAAGAATTTAGTATTTTGAAAATATATATAACATTAAGATTGGCGATATTTAGCACATTTTTTACTGTATAAACATTTATCAAATAATTCAATAAAAGGAGCATATAGCCTTTACTAGTTCTTAAACTAGTAATAGTGATAAACAACATTTTATACGAGATTGTCATTTAGTATAACAAACAATTTGTAACGCGCACGTTCAAACTTTTATTAGATTATTTTTAGTATTCTTATTGTGTCGAAGTTATATTTTCAAACTATAACGTTTTTATAACTATATCATTAAATTTGTACGCTTATGTTTTCGTGCTTCTTTTATCACATTCTGCTGAATTGAAAACCGTAAATTCTTATGGGAATCATTGATCATACAATGATGAGGCTTTCATACTCCTTTTATTGAATTGATGAGTCTTAAGATTTATTAAACGATATAAATATTTCTGGTCGTCTTTAGATTACAAATAAAACTGCCAAATGTCATCTTTTATTAAAAAATATTTTACTATTCTCTATATTTAAAAATGACAGCTAATTAGTTTTAGCAATTTCTCGTGGTACACTGTATTAGTGCTGATATTTTTGCTAAGAAAAAATCAATACCAAATTGACCGAAGAACCTGTTATTACATCCGGGCTTTTTAAAGTGCTCTATATTGCGTACCTGTGTTTCTAGGACAAGCGCGTGCGTAGCCCACCCACCATCTTTGAAAATACCTATGGTATTATTTATACCACCATATGTACAATAATGATAATTCGCGTTGTGACAATGATCGCATTTGTAGCATCCATTATTAGGATCGACAGCTACACGTTGACCGATTTTCAAGGTGGTCACTTCCGATCCGAGTTCATCGATAGTACCTACAAACTCGTGCCCAAGAGTCAGAGGCCCATCCTCTCTACAGGGAAAGCTTCCCTAAAAAAAAAATACGTTATTTCGAAATCAAAGCATGTATGTATACATATACCGGCACGTATATACTTGTGTGTCAGGTAATATATCATGCTATGAGACAATCGACAAAGTTTTAACTTTTATCATATTAATTCACACAAACAAAATGTGCAATTATAATAAAACAAACGGCTATTGATTGTGACGAAATGCATATTCTTTCTACTTTAAATATTTCCAAATAATTTTCAAGTGATTTAAATAATTTTTAATCGTGTTCTATATAACTTTTAATTGTCTTATAATTTTTTAAATTTATAATAATAAAATATTTTTGTAACATAAATTAATATCGTATTTATAAAAATAACATTGTAATAATTATTTAGAATTATTTTAACTTTTTACATTCTACAATTATGATAATAAAAATAACATTTTTATAATTTTTATAATAGTAACATACTTCCAAAATATGAAGATCTGTCCCACAAATCCCGGAATATTCGACTTTAATTCGGACCTCCTTTGCCGCTGGTTTTAGAAGAGTATCTCGTTTCTTTAAAGTAAGCGATTTGCTTGAAAAATTAAAGCTTAAATATTCCATTGTGGATACGGTCCGTATCCACTTGAATATCTACGAGAACACTAAGAAAGCCAACCGTCATCATCCGATATTTATACATAAATTGACGACATTAAGTCGTAAACATCTTTAACCGATAACAGTAAAGCCTAGTTTGCAAAAATTGTAAGATGTAGTTGCAACTGATAGTATAGTTGTAACAAATTGGCCAATCATACTCGAATATTCTCCTCATGTTCGATTGTGACTGGTCAATTCTTACAGCCCACTTACAGTTATGCTTATGGCTATTGTAGAGTAAGCTTAATGTCTTATCGACACTCGAGTGATTACATAAGACATATATGCATGTAAAGATAGCGATTGTCAGCTTGATGTCACGCAAAGGTCAGGTCAATTACAAGTAGATTAGAGTGAAAATAAAACTGTCCAAGCGCAAATATAATTATTATTTATAATTTATAGCAACGTTGCAATCTTGCAAATCGCAATGTAACGTTGCAGAGATATGTAATCGTATAAACAGAAACATGATTGTAATAATATCGATTTGCCGAGTATTGATAAACACAAAACAAGATACCACAATAATAGGAGTCTGTAGGAGTCACGTGAAGTGTTTAAAAAAAAATTTAAATTCTAATCATTGATTTTAATCTCGCGAGATTGAGAAATGTTTGGAGAAGGAATTATCTAATGATTTATTAATTTACGTTATCTTGATCAGGGATTTGGAATTTTAGAGAGCTCGCAGTCTTTTAGGTGCGCATGATACGATAGTTTCAAAGAATATAATAATTATAATTAAAAAAACCGTATAAATTTTCACATTATAATAGATATCGCGTTACATATACGTAGAATACGCGATTTTAATTAGTTGCCACTTTAAGCGTAAGTTTTTTCTGTCACCTCGAGAAAATAATGATACTGAAGCGGAAAATTCATTCATGCACGGCAGATCGACTCGTTGTGAACGAACGTCCTTCAATTCATGAGAAATTTCGGGTCAACGGGACACCGAGCTGGATAACTGGTTGCACCGGGAAACCGGAAATGGGGTCGAGAATGACGTCATCTAGCTTCAACTCCGTTTATTCAACCCCCAGGGATAAACTAGGTCACTAGGACAAGCTACCCCCTATCCTGATCTTTTCACATGCACACACACAAAGAAATATTTCACTCCAAAAAAGTACGTTCTGAATTACGTAATATGAGTTCTGTATAAACTATAATGTTATAAATTAACTATATTGACAAAAAATGTCAATTATAATGTAAGAGGGGTTTATTATAAATATCCGATAATTTAATTTAGTATCGTAATAAATCTATGATTATAATTTTATTAACGTCATCACTCTTAAAATAAAGTTACTTCGGAATTTTCAGTTAAATAAAAAATATATAATATCGGTGTTTATATAAAATATCAGCGTGTTAAAAATTTTCGCTCTTTTAGTGTATTTTCCAGACAAAAATCATTCAAGAGGCAAAAATCTAATTCATCACTTCGTCGCGTTTTCCTAACGATATAAGAGAAACGATCAAAGCTTTAGCGGCCTACGGAGTGACATTTAAACAAAGCACTACGAGCAGAATAATTTAATAAACGTGAAGCACTCGTAAACATTTGTCTTATTTTTATCCTATTCTTTCTCGAATGCCGAGTAATAAAATAACGCGAGCAGGTATATTTAACGTTAGATATATTTCATGGTACGTGTATATTCGAGATGTTTTTCGTAGAAATTGTCCCGGCGTGTATTCATAAGTACCAATGATGGCACGTGCTTTGATTTCTGAACGAGCTGCAAGGTGAATGGACCGTTCAACGTCACAGCCTCAAAGTAGGTCGCCGTGGACGGCTCTGGGTCGCGTATCGCCTTGTCCCTTGTACTGCCACAGCAACGGCAGTACAGTTCATTGAAAAACCGGGACTCGATCAATATCTCCCCCGATAAGCACATTAATATGTAGTAATTTGCGATACGGATGAATATCGAATTCCAGATTCTTCGTGTAATAATCATTCATCGAATTGGGTCGCCGGAACCTGTACCGATTCGCATCTAAAAGAGGAAAATGATCGAAAAAAAACGCGGGGCGGAAGAGAAAAAAAGGAGGAAAAAAGAAGACGAGACAGACGCATGAACGGAAAGCGGAAGCAGCCAAGTTGCTCAATGGAAGAGCTCAATCCCTGCGAGCGGATGCGAATGGGTAGGCAGCCCATTGAAGGTTGCACGGGTATATTCGCATTGCGTATGCGCAGCTTTGACGTTTCTCTTTATCCAACAAAAGAACGTGAATACTCGTTTACATGTCCGTCTCTCTTCGTTACGCCACACGACAGAATCTCATCGCGATAATGAAAAGAACTGCTTGTACAGATATAATCTTACCATGAGAACTTCCGATTTCTTTAAAAGACATTATAAATGCAGGATATCCTAAAAAAAGTATTTTTAAATTATAATGAGACTATATTTGCTTTCTCGAAAACTAAATCTTTCAACCGATTAACTAAATTCGAGACTAAATTTCATTGCTTTTCAATCCATTTACATTATGCGAAGTTCACTTAAGGATGTACATGTCACATCTCAAAGCATTACTAAAAATATAAAATTTCCATTTTGTTCTATTATTACGTTTGAATATCTGTGCAATTTGAGCATAATTCTCTTATTGGTTTACAATTTATTTAATTTTCTTGTTAGTCTTATTTTTATACAAAACAGCATTTTGCAATTTTTTTACAAATTTAATATAATCTTAATATTATAAATTAAATTAAATTTATTACATATAAAATTCAAATAAATTTTCATGAAAAAGTTAATTTGAATCTATTTACTCGTTCAAAAATTATGTATCTAAACCTGCAGCAAAATACGATCATTGGTTACATAAAGCCATTATAAGCTTATGTTGTCTATATATTTTGTTTAAATTACTTGTTAGTTTATTTTTTATTAATTATTTCAAGATATTTTTATTTTAAATATTTGAGACAAAAAGTTGGCTGATATTGGTTTTTAACTGATTTTTTGACACTTTCAGCTGATACTCTGTACAGTCAAATATCTTTAACAAAATTTTAATTTTAGATTTTATTACAAAGATAGTATAATTAAAAAACCTAATAAATAATAATTTCCTTTGGTATTTTCGCAAAGAGATAATTGATTATCAACGAATTTATTATTAACAAACATAAATAGAAATGAGCATACAGCCACAACGTAAGATGTTTTTCGCAAAGTCATATATTTAAAAAAGAGAGGAAGGTAAATGTTTCGGTCAAGTTTTGACCATCATCAGTACATAAAAATCAATTGTATACAACATAAAATAATGAAAATCGCTAGATGTTAACAATAAATTCGTCAAAATTTTACAGTGTATGATCTTAAAATCGGAAGTTAAAAACAATAAAGACGCAAGAATTAAAAAGTGTATAATTTAAAGTCGAAAAATGTAAATTTCAATGTATTTCTATTATATCAGTTATAAATTAATTGTGTTATTTCACGTCAATTCGAGATTTTGAAATTCTTCTTGTTCTTGTACATTAAATACGGAGTTACCAGATTCCATACTATTGACGAACATCGAATATCACCAGTTATAAGAATCATGTGGATGAATAATTATGATAAATAGAATACGTTAAATTTCAAAAAAGATGTGTAATTTATTATTAAAAAATTATGCGTAAGAAGACATTTTATTTATAGCCAAAAAAATTGTAAAAATTATATTTAATTACAAATCTCTCTCTCTCTCTCTCTCTCTCTCTCTCTCTCTCTCTCTCTCTCTCACATTAATATACATAGATATAATGAAAGAAAACGTATTTAGCATAATATCTCGTAAATGCAAACAATACATTAATTATGTAAATTGAGTTTCCTAGATAATTTTTATTTAAAATTATCTCACCATTACAATTGTTACTGCATTTCAAGTTTTTCTATATAAATCATTGATTGTTTGCTTAAGTGAAAACGTATATTGAAAACTGCAGTTTTTTTATAGCCCGGCTACACCGGATATGACGTTTACGATCTTTTAACATCTTGAGAAATTCTGTAAAAAACATCTATTCTTCAGCAAAACGGAGTAAAAGGCGTCTATAAGCGACACTTGGAAAATTACGTCTTTCACGTCTTTGCTTGTGATATTTTTTTTCCATTAAACAAGTTTTTATAGTAAATTTTATACGTACTAATTGATATATTGCTGCAAATAAATAAAATGTGATTTTTATGAAGGGTAAAATTCCACTAAATACTACTAAGGCTAAGCTCTCTCATCATTCGATTGTGGAATTATTCGATTTGATTAGATAAACTGCTACGAACGATTGTCATGTTATAAATATAAAAATATTGAGATAATGTGTGTGTCATTAGTAAAAATGTATCAAAATGGAAAAGTACCAATTAAGATTAAATTAAAAGTTGACATTTTATCAATTTATCAATACAATTATCAATATGTTTGTTTCTTATTAGGAAAGTAACAACTTCGAATACATTCTGCACATATTCACTGTTAAATCTGTGTCATGCATGTGTACAAGATTAATATCATTATCATGTTCACGAATTATCTAACATAGATAGTTAGGAATACGCATTCAATTCTAATTATTTTTGTTAATTATTAACAAAAAGTGTAAATAAAAAATTGTGAATGTATTTCGAGTCTTCCTTTCTCTTTCGTTAGTTCATTTATGAAACTACGTACTTATTAGTAAACTGTAACAAAATGTAATAGAATGAAAGATTAACAGAACGAGAGGGCGTAGAAGTTTGCTGCGTAAAGTATCGATTGGGGACGCTGTTCGCCAACGAGACTAGCCTACATTCTGTCTCTTTTCTTCACCCTTCCGAGTTACGAAGGCCGATTTGTCTCCCTCTCTCTATATATCCTCTCAACGACCTAGAAGTTCTCATTCAACGCTCCCTCCTCTTTGCTCTTACTTAACCTTGCCACCCTCTATCGTTCTCTTTTTGCTTCCTCTTCTCTTGCGATTGCG